GACCGAGCCTGACAGCCGTAGTTCTGGCTCTGCGTTGAGCTCTTCTCTCTGCTGACGCAGGGGTTCTTCCATGGTGCAGCTAACCCGGAGCCTATAGACAGCTGCTTACTAGGAGATATGGGGGCAGTGAGCTTCTCCAAGCCCTCTACTGTCCACGGAGGGCTGATGGGGACAGTTGGGAACCTCTACACTTACTTAAGGGATATTCAGGTCACGTCAGCCTGTGTGACATGGCTTTTAAAACTGCTGCGAATGTCCTCTTTTGTCTTAAATTCTCAGAACTTGATGCTTTCTCGCCTCTTCTGGGAAATGCCTCTTTCTTGAGGAGAGGAAGGAGTGGTTTTGCAAGGGTAAAGTTGTTGAGCACAGCGTTGGTAAAAGCAGTTGGGAATGAAAAGCAGAACTTGTGAATCCCTCCTTGCTCTGGAGGTCTGAGCATGTCTTTCCTTTGCAGGGACTTTGAGGTGCTCTAAATGTCATGGCACAACCAGAAGAGATGACAGATGTTTTTATGGTGTTTCCATTCTCTGCGGAGTGGCTGGGATGGGGGTATGACAAAGGACAGGGTTTTATTTCTGAAGGGCTAGATGTGAAATAGTACGCAATGAGAGCAGGCTGGGTTGTGTGGCTGGAGGATGAATAGTGCTGGAGATGGAGAACTGCTGATGGGATGGTGGGTTTCTGTAAGCTCTCCCACCGAGCTGTGGGCTCCATAGTTTTCCATTCTCTGCGGAGTGGCTGGGATGGGGGTATGACAAAGGACAGGGTTTTATTTCTGAAGGGCTAGATGTGAAATAGTACGCAATGAGAGCAGGCTGGGTTGCGTGGCTGGAGGATGAATAGTGCTGGAGATGGAGAACTGCTGATGGGATGGTGGGTTTCTGTAAGCTCTCCCACCGAGCTGTGGGCTCCATAGTGGCTGTTGGGATTGTTGGGAAGCGGATTGCGGTCAGCTTCTGTAGGAGCCTGTGTCCAGGACCGGCCCCTGAGCAGGGACACTTGCGGGCAACTGTGTTGATAGCAGGGCTCCTTTTCTGGGAATACTCCCTGGTTTTCTGGTATTGCACCACCACCTAGTGGTAACAGCATCCAAAACTCTGCCCTCTAGGCTTCAAGGTTTTTTTTCCTTTTTCCTCCTTAGAAACGATCCCAACCTCTGGAGTTTATCGATCCCCTGGCCAACAAAAAGCCCAGGATCTCGCATTTGGCTCACAGAACTCAGCCCACTTTCAACGGGAAACTGAATTCCTCCAACGGGAAGGACGTCCCTACCCCTGCCCCTGCCCTGCCGCCGGCTGTCCCGGAGTCAGTGAGCTCCAGCTCCAGCCTCCCGGTGCTGGAGCTGCCGAGGCCTCACGATCCCCTTTCGGATGTCAGCAATGACCTGACTCACAATGGCAGAGACTGTGAGAACCCGGAGACGGCTGACAGACTGACTCATCCTTTGTCAACAGACTGTCCTCAAACGAGCAAGCACAATTGCAGCTCGTATGTAAAAACCAAGAAAAAATCCAAAAAGCACAAAGACAAGGAAAAGGAGAGAAAGGAGAAGAAAAATGAAGAGAAATGCAAAGAGGAGAAGCAGGACTGTGAAGTAATAAAAAATGCTGACTTAGTTAGTGTTCCCCAGGAACAGGTCACAGGTATGTATGGTCCAAGACACCCTCCTGTATGGCTTGTACTAAGATAATACTGGTATCGGCTGTGTGTAATTTCTGCTCTAAATCCATTTGAGGAAAGAGGTTGTGTGTCCACTTGCAGAGACCTTGTGGTTAACGAAATAATATCACTGTCCCTACCTACAAATCAACAGATGCGCTTCCTCTCAAAAGAGAATATCAGGTTTTTCCTGTTTAACCTTTCATGCTGTTTGGAACTGCCTCTGACCGTGTCATGTTTCTCCTTGTTAAATTAAAAGCTGTATTAATATATGGGGATGAAAGGCAGACATCAAGATCTCTTGGAAAAAGCAGTGCTGCTTTGATTACTTACGGCTTTTCTACTTGTGTTTGGTATTGTGATGACTGTTGTATTGATTTTTAACTTGGTAACGAAAAGTTAGTCACAAAAGCTTTTAATATTGGATACAAAAGAAATGATAGATAAGTCTTGTGATAAATGCTGTTAAAGCAGTATACAACCAGCTCTTTCAAGCTGAAAGAGCTGCTTTGTTGTATCCCACAATTACTCTGAATTTATTTTTTCAGGGACTAACACAACGGTGAATCTGTTACCCATTGAGATGTGATGAAAATGTTTTCCATCAAACCAGTATATTTCTAAGTCGGTTCTACATGCTCTTAGAAGTTAGAGCAGAGAATATACGTTGGCTAATCCGATCCGTTCCCTTGCCAGTGCCTTCAGCTTTCCTGTTTTCTGCTGGTTTGTTAGACTTTCTTATGGCTCCCTGGAGCGGTGGGACTTCCCCTGCAACCACTAGGAATATTGTAGTCTTGATCTGTTGTTAAATTTCTTTTTGGATCTATCTTGTTTTCTTCTGCCCTGTTCCTACTTTCTGACACTGTTCCTCTTCATGCTTGGTGTATGAAAATCATCCAGTTTTGGCTTAAAAGGGACAGTAACTCGAAAAACTAATTTGTTGAATTCCTGGAAAGGGAGAGCTTCCTGAGGCATCAGGATTAATGCGATATTAGCTCTCATCTTCCCCACAGTCTCTGTAGCACCTACAAAAGGCATTTTGATTGTTCACCAGTGATTTTTAATGACAGTCCATAGTCCCGATCATTGTGTGGCACAGCAGAACCATGCTCTTCAGATACTTTCATCTTTTGTGTCAATCTTAGTTTTTTCTGTGAATGTTGCTTTTTCTTCCCAGTATATCTTGTCTTGAATGGTAGTGGATAGATACACACACACGCTTTCTCTCTATATATGTTTTTGTCAGTATTTATTATAAATACCCTGAATTCTTTCTTCATGAAGTTGCTGACCTCTTATCACCTCTTCCGCTTTGCTTTAAAAACAGTTTAATGACTGGCTCTTTGTTAATTAGTAGGAGTCGGGGTTTTTTTCTGCTGACCCACTGATGTACGCAAGGTAACGAATCCGAGCTGGGCTTGGGAGTAATCATAAACAGGATGTGGTCAGTGGCTGCTTGCATCTGAATTGGGATCTTTTTCCTCTCTGCCTTATTTCATGTGGATAGCGTGGGCCTAATCCTGCTCCTTTTGTCTGCAGCAAGTGGCCGACCGACTTCTCCAAGTCCCCCTTGGGCCAGGGGCTGCAGGGAAGCAGAGTTTCTCTCTGGAGGTTTGTTCAAGAGGCTGTGGAGGGACCTTTGGGGTCCTTTCAGCAGTCAGTAGGTGGCACTCATAGGCAAAATAAACCTCCTTTTCTCCCTGTCTGCTCCACAATCTTCCTTACCCATGTTCTGCATCTTTCATGCTGGTGGTCAGGTAAGGACAAAAGCAGAATTGACTGCAAACGTCTACAGTAGGAATTCGAGACTGAGTGTTGATAATTACACTGTTTTTTCTGCAGTTCTTCCATTGCGCTCAGGAATTCAGAGAAAAATCAATTTTTTAAAAAGATATAATTAGGGTATTGCTTTTACATGCCTGTGTTTGTTTATTGGGCATTTCATGGTCCCTACAGTTTATCTGGGATAATAATTCTGAAGTAGTAGTGTAGGTGAGCGTAGGGATGGGTGAGGCTTGGGGCTCGCACGTACCTTTCCTGTGCATCTGGGGAAATGCAATCAAGGTACCACTTGCTCTAAGTTACAGACTTGGAAAGAAGAAACAGTTTTGTGAAGCGTCTGAGTTAAATCCTGTGCAGCCTTCTTCATTTGTGCCTTCTCCTGCCTCTTATTTTGCTGCCTTCTCATGGACGCAGTTGGCTTTCTGATTAGGACTTCCAGTATAAAACACATTTTATGAGAAATATCCCTTTGCAAGCCTGTGTCTGACTGCTTTCTTCCTCCAAACTAACAGCGCAGTGTTTGGTTTATGCTGAGGATGGGGTCTGGTTTAGGCTCACGTTCAGAATCCCGTTCCTCTTGAGGTCTTTGGTCCCTTCACTGAAACTCCTAAACATTCTTAGTTGAGCCTTGCTTGATTCACGTTTCTTCATCGAGCAGAGAGCACTTTGATTTTTCTACAGGGCAGTAGGGCTATGTGAAGAAAAAGCTGTATGCCTTATAAACCTGTCTGTTGTACCCTAGAGTATTAACAGTAGGAATAGTAGGAAACTATATCGTGTAGAATCAGGAGAAAAGAATGTGCACCTTGCTTGGCGCTCTGTTCTGCGCAACTGGACTCATTAATTTGTTTAGCAATGGTGATACCAGTGTTATCCCTCCCTGCAGGCAGTGTTTATAAACCAATTAAGTTTTTGTGCTGCTCAGTGCATTGGCTAATGTTGATACTGTTTTTCTGACAGACAAATATTAGAGAAGCCTTGAAGTTTCACCCACCTTATTGTGGATCTTCTATCTTTGTCAGTTCAAAGCAAAACCAGAAATCCTTTAGAATTTGATAGACCGTATATTGCAAATAAGTTTATGAATTTGAAGTTTAATTGCATAGAACTTTAAAGTTTAAGGATGTCTATAAACAAGTCTTTATTTTTTCAGGTTTAAATGGAACATGCAATAATTCTAGTGTACCAACATCAACTTCAGAAATGCCAGATTATTTATTGTAAGTATATTTATCAGTTGCTTCATCGCTTTGGGATCATGTTTCAAGCTACAAATCGCAATGTAGTGGGAATTTTGTTGGACTTTATTGTTACTCGATATAACTTTGTAAGGTGGGTTTAAAAAAAAGAAAGAGTAAATCCAACTTTGCAGATAGTTCCGGAGACTAAACTTGGTACCAGATCTGTTCTTTACCTCCTCATGGAGTTCAATGTTACCTTCCTATAAACCAATTCTTAAAGTACTTCAAGAAACATTGCATACCTTGAAGGGCTTTGAAAGGATTACATATCTCCATGTTACAATTGGAAACTTTTGAGAGGAAATTATCTGCTTTAATGCTGTGAGAGACAGGGCAAGAAAGGATTTTGAGAGGTTAGCTAATTCTTCCCCTGTTCAGAGCCAAGATCATCTGCATAAACTAGTGAAATAGTCTTCATGGGAAGGTTATAACCCATGGGTTAGGATGCGAGTTGTTTCACCTCTTGACTTTTTAATCAGATCCCCTTGAGGTTAATTAAACAATATACTTGTCTGCTGAAGGACAAAAATCCCTGTGCATAAAGCCAAACCTGTTACAGACAAAGCTTTGTGACAGCGAAGAAGGGTAGCTGTGGGTGATGTTCCCTGCGTACGTCTCAGCCAGGGTTTTTAACACCATCAGATCTGGTTTGGCTATGCTGTGATCACTCGGAGGGAAGAGATGGAGGAGGCGGCAGTGGTGGCATCCACTCTTGGCTGTGCAGGAGCAGTCTCTGGAGTTGACTAGAGGATAGATAGGGTTCTTGTATGGTTACAGAACTGTGGTTTGCTGGGCTGTAGGAACTATATGAACTGCTTTGAGTTGGCATTTCTAGTACCATTCAGAAGAATACAGATGGCTGGGGTTTTTTTTTTTCGTACAGCAAATGTGCTGATCCCTCCTATTGAGGGATATTGCAGCTCCTCAGTCCACCTCCAAAGAAATCCTGTAAGGTTTATGAACTTCTGGAAGCTCTGTTGTCTCCCCTTTTGGCATGATCTGACTGTTTTGATGGTCAGCTCCTTTAAATTATAAGAGCTGTCACTGCCATTTTGATCACAGAGGCATATGTTTCGTACCAGTGAGGACAACTTCCTTATCTCATAGTAGCGTATCCTTTATAGATGCTTATTTATACCAACCCCTAGCAAGGAATTGGTTCTTAAACGCGCTCTAGCCTTCCAGTTAACAGAGTGGAAGTTTTCCCTTAATTTGATATCTAAGTTAGTTTATGTGTGCTCATGTACTGAGCTGGCACCGCTGCAGACAGTGTAAGGTGGCAAATTAGAGTCATCACCTACAAAGAGGTGAGTTTTGTCATCAGAGAGGAATGGCGCTGGGCTTTCTGCAAACTGTCAGGTTTAACGGTTTTTTCTTGAGCTGAATAACTTTCAAAGGGCCTCAAAACACGAGATTTTGCGTTCAATTCACGTTGGCTATCTTCCGAAGGTAGCGGAGATACATTCAGTCTATTCAACATGGTTTCTCTTCGTACTGTGAGCATTTTGCAACGATAGCTGAATGCTTTTTGTGTTCCTTTAAAGACTCTTTACACTGGAAGCATCG